GAAACACTGGATTCAATGCGGAATAATACTGATGTAAACAAAGATGCAAGAAAACCTTCCATTCACAGGTAAAAAACTGGGTGAATCAACACTCCGACAATACAAAATCAAAAGGAAAAATAAGAAATTATATTTATTAGATTATTTTTATGAAAATTAAGAATATTTATCCTCCAAATTCTCAAACTTCTCAGTCTCACTTTTGAGTTTTTGTCATTCTCATTCTTACGGATTCATATTATCGTAATTCAATTTTTATTTAGATTATCATACGGTAAAGGCAGTGCAACAAATTCTTCCATGATATATGCATAACTTACAATTAAAATAATGTGTCAACAGTTTTTTTTTCACTCTACAGTAATGAGATTTAGAAGAAGAGATTTTAGGGTTTATTATGAGTTTTCATGCGATTGACTTTCTTGCACACAGAATCTAACGGCTGTACTCTCGGCTGCATCTGTTAAACGTGTCCTCTAATGTCCCTTAGATGCCTGAAGAAGAGATTTTACGACTCACAAACCCAAAAGATGGAAAACGGCACTCGATGCCAAAACTCAAGACGCTGAAGACTCGTGTGGAATTCATGGAAACTTCACCGGATTCATGCGTGACACACTCAGATCCTCCTGCTATTTTTACACCCGTGTTTTTCCAGAAACACTAAACAATTCAGCAAACAATGCAGTGAGAAACCGTTTACTGCTGACACAGAGACAAGAGTTTAACGAGATTTTCAGCTTTCAGAAGAATAAGCAACTGTGAGCTGTTTGTGCACAACCCAACATAAATAACAAAAACCATAAAAACAACAGTTTTGTTGAATGAAAATAACACTTGAAAGAAAATAAACTTGCTTTAAGTTTTACATTTCAGACTCGTCTGATAATAAAGTGTTATATATCATATACGTATATCATAACAAAAAGTGAAAACGTATGTTTTTATCTCGTTGCAAGGGCAACATTTCTCTTTTGTTTAGTTTAACTTGTACTAAAATAACTAAAACTGAAATATAAAAATTAATGAAAACTGTAAGGATTTAAAAACAGCAAAAACTTTGAAGTTGGCTTGAGAAAAGCCAGAGCAGAAAGTATGAAAAAGATTTAAAAGCTTGAAGTTTGAAGGCTAGGTTTGAAGTTACCGTTGAAATGTTTTGAAAGCAATGCAGTCTATTAGAAAAACAGATGGATGGATGGATTCTAGGATATTGCTAAGCGGTCGCTAAGGTACTCCGGCTGTTTGTTAGGACGTTTCTGTGTGGTTGCTATGGTACTCGGGTTTGTTGCAAGGGTGTTGCTATGGTATTCTGGGAGGTTGCTAGGGTATTGCTATGCGGTTGCTAGGGTGCTCGGTGGTTGCTAAGGTGTTGCTATGTGCTTGCTAGGGTACCCAGGGTGGTTGTTAGGGAGTTGCTATGCAGTTGCTAAGGTACTCTGGGTGATTGTTAGGAAGTTGCAGAGAGAAAAACTAATAAAAACACAAATTGAAATGGAAAATGCAAAAAAAACGAATTCAAAATATTAATGAAAACTATTATAGTAAATAACACTGGATCAGGCTCAATCTCTAAACATCTTTGTTTAAATGTTTGCAAGCAGATTAAATCTGAGAAACTGAGTTAACACAAACAAACACAAAATAATTCAAAAAACAAGAGATTAAAAGTAAACAAGAGATTAAAAGTATCAAATAACGCCCTTATTTCCTGTGAAAACACTTGTGAATTATAAGGACAGTTCGCACTTTCCTGTGATAGCGCGGTTTAACTCAATGATAGTGATGTGATCAATCATTAAACAAGCAGGAAATATTAAAGTTGAGCGTGTAAGTGCAGCGTTTGTGCTCCAGACATCAATGATTCCTCAAATCAGGAGAGCTGTGACGTTGTTTTGAGTCATCAGATGCACCATTCTCCCAGCATACTTTGCATGGTCAAACACTGCTCACATTTCCTTCAGAACATGTAAAACTCAGAGAAACACGTGTTTGGCAAAAACAAAGAGGCTCAGACACACACACGCTCTGTTTTTCATAGCTGGCACCAACTGCTTAAAATAGTTCGTCTGTTGTGCCAGTCCACACACACACACACACACACAAGCGTGTTGTGGCTCGAGGTATCCCAGCATGCAAACATGCATGTCGTAGGATCTCCCCGTGCCTGTACGGAACGTTTCATGCCAACAGCACCGCCACTCAGAAATGTGAGCGTGTTGTGACGAGTTTACTGCTGTAAAAACAGCCCCGACTAAACACTCTTCAGACGAGCACTGTCAACACACACACACACACACACAGGCACACACACTCACACAGAGAGACACACACACACACTCTCACACTCACACAGAGAGACACACACACACACACACACACACACACTCTCACACTCACACAGAGAGACACACACACTCACACACACACACACAGGCACACACACAGGCACACACAGACACACTCACACAGAGAGACACACACACTCACACACACACACACA